TTGGAATGGGCTGCCCAGGGAGGTGGTTGAGGCACCATCCCTGGAGGTGTTCAAAAGACGGGTTGATGTAGTGCTGGGAGGTCTGGTTTAGTGATGATGCTCCTTGTTTGTTGTGTGGGTGTCTATTTTTGTCAGTCAGGTTGACGGTTGGACAAGATGATCTTTAAGGTCCCTTCCAACCTAGAAGATTCTGTGAATTAGCTGTTGGGATGTAGTGTGGGCAGGCTGCGGTGCTGAGCAGCCTGATGGCTTCTGCTTCTCAAGCACCGTCCCCTCCAAGGGGGCTGTGAACCAGAGAGATGCTCAACCACATCTTCAAGGTGGGGACACAGTAACCAACCAGGTGCTCCCCAAAAATGGTCCAGGGCAGACAGATGGGGGTCTACAGGCACAGCTGCAAGTGCCCAGAGCCGCTGGTGGGGAGTGAGCTGCTGGCCTTGGGGACAAGGTGACACCCCAGAGACCCTCTGGGGCTCAGCCCCTCTGCATGTGCTGCAAATGACCGCGCTGGCAGAGCTCCCCATCATCACCCCCACATCCCTAACGATGACCCCACAGCTCTCAACTCGACTGCTCTCTCTGGAGGGGCTCCTATTAGTCTCACCCCACCGTGACAGACTGACACGCAGGCTACGGTGCTGTGCAGTGACACTGGGGTCCTGTGTGGGCTCATGGGGCACAGCAACCACCTCCAGGTACGGACAAGTGCCCTTCCATACCTGTGGCAGGACACCAGGACTGTCAAGATACCAAGTGCCAAGACACCAGGACTACCTGTGTCAAGGTTGTACCACGACTGCCCACACTGGTGTCCCATCTGTCACCCTGCAGCCCTCTGCCTGTCCCCTCTCTGTCCTTCCACAGCAGGAAGAGGTTGTCTGTGTGGATGTGTGTGAGGTTAAGGACTGAACCTGCACCAGTCCAAGAATAAAATGAGCCCAGGGGGGACACGTGGCGAGTGCTTTTCCCCAGGGACACCCTCTGCAGGCACAGCAGGAAGAGTACAGAGGAGCCATCACTGGATTCACCCATTCCTGTGTGTCCTGCTGGCCCGGGGACACCCATGTGTGTGTGTGTGACAGCACACTCATCTCCTGGGGGGCTGTAGAATACCCCTTCCCATGTGTTGGAGGACCCCAGCCCCCCAGGGCACTGACCTTCTCTGGTGCCATGCTGGGACACTTCCAATTGTACAGGTAATACTGCAGGTTGCCATCCCCAATCCCAAACTTCAGCTTCTCCAGGAAGGTTTTGTTTTCCATGAGATCCAGTGCATTGAAGACGTCAAATCCTTTCTGCACGGGCAAGAGAGATGAAGCCATCAGCTCCTCCTGCTAACGTGCTGGGAGGGTTCATCCCACCCGGGAGCTGCCTGCCCCCCTCTCCTGCCCACCTCTGCACCCCCAGAACGGGGGGAGGCTGATGGGGAAGACCCTGGCACCCTCAACTCAAGCTCTACGGACAGACAGCAAGACAATTTGCTGGGAGGAAGAAGCAGCCACCCCGAGCTCAGCCCTGCACTGCCCAGAGGGCTCAGGCTGCCCCTGCACCCCCCTCCTGGCCGGCAGATCCTTTAGGATTTGGATTTAGTACAGCCCTGGGTCCAAGCCCTGCCCCACGGCCGGCCCTCCCCATAGACCCAAGGGTGGGCAGGAGAGCTGCCCGGTGCCACCTCGGCCGTGCCAGCACCCACCGACTTGGCGAGGATGAGAGCATCGCTCATGAGGTCGATGAGAGGCGTCTTGGTGTGAACGTTGTAGAAGGAGTAAGCAGCTTTCAGGCTCTTGTGGGTCGGGTGGTTCATGATGGTGGAGGGCAGCGTGTAGAAGCTCAGGAAGTCCGTCACCTCCCCTGGGGCGCTCTGGAAGTGACACCACAACAAGTCAGAGCCAGAATAAAGCCACCCTGGAGCCTTAGAGCGGCTTTGCCAGTCGGAGTGATGTGTGGGCTCCTTGTGAGGAGACTCAGGGCAGCCTGGGATGGAGAGGCACCATCCTCCTGCAGCTCAAACCTCCCACTGCGTGGGGCAGCCACCTCCCTGATCGCTCCCTGCTCTTCCAGCAGAGGCAGAAACCCAGGAAAACACCCCCCCCGTCTTGCTTCTGCCCCCTCACCTCTACCACAAAGGTGTCAATGATGTTCTCCTGAGGTAAGAACCAGTGCTCCACCTCCTCTCGGCTCATGACGGGCGTCAGGTGGAACTGCTTCAGGTACTCGGTCAGGAGCTTGTGCACTGCAGAGATATCTCTGTGCTCCATGGGCCGCAGGCCAGTAGTCTTGGGAGTCTGCAAAAAGTGGGTCAAATTGTTTGGGTTGCTTGCACGGTGGCTTTTATCACCCAAGGGCTCCCCAACAAGCAGCACGGAGACACTCTCTGCTTAGATGAGCCCATTTTCAGTCCCACGACCCAGCACCCTCCCTCCCAGCCCTGCCTGCCGGGCCGAAGGATGGATGCGATCGGCCGTGACACCGATGGCAAAGACCACAGAGAAGCACAGCAGGTCCCAAAGCCCCGTGTGCCAGGTCAAGTCCTGCTGGAAGCAGCTTCCTACCCACTAACGACACAAGATATCTGCATCCCCCCAGGTCTCTGCTCCCACACCTGGTGGGGACGCCCTGGGAGACGTGCCCCGGGCACCACAAGGAGCCACCTGATGTTATTTCCAGTTGGACTCTGTTTCTAATCTAGGGTTGGGATTGCCCAGCAAAGCCCTGATCGTGGACTGCTGCTGGGTCTGGGTTTTTGCCCCAAAATTGGTGGCTACAGAAGCACAGCTGGTGGCTTCGCTGAGACAGAAGACAGGAGCCACGTGCTGCCCAGCACCAACACAGAGCTCTTCAACCGAAACGAGCAGCTTTGACCGACAGAAAAGAGCCGCCAAGGTCGGGGAAGGTGGTGGCAGTTTTGATGCTTTGTTTGTTTTTTCTCTCCCGTATCCAGCTGGGGAACTCCCCCAGCAGGACAACCCCAGTGACAGAACCCATCAGTCTGACTGAAGAATGAGGGACTAACCCAATCCAAGGTCACTCCGAGGCTGTGTTTGGACAGATGAAGGCTGTCAGATCTGCCTTCTCGTTTTACCAGGTGGACGGGATATGACTCACCATGAAACAAAAGCTCACGGGGTCCTCTAGCTGCAAGAATTTGCCCTTAAAATGCAGGTACCCGGGCAAAAATAAATAAAGATTAAATAAAAGCCCAATGGCTTGACAGAATCATTTACTACGTGAAACAACCCCCAGTTCTCTAGGCAGGGGACTCGACCTCAGCTGAGATGTTTGTGTCTCCAGTTCCCAGCCTCACCCCAGCTCAGCTGGCACCCACCTCGGGCAACCGGTAAAGCTTCATGGTACGTTGCATAGTCATGTTCCTGCTCAGGTGGGAAAATTTGACCTCGATGAGCTTCCGAGGGTTCAGGGACCGGTGCCAGTACCTGCAGAAACACACTCGGGGTGGGAGGCTTGTTCTGGGCCAGCGGGACGGCCGCACGGGCACCAGGTTCTCCTTGCTGCCATGAGAGGGCAAACGAGAACATCACAGCGGCTGGTGAAGAGGCCAGCAGCTCCCACAGAGAAAAAAAAACAACGGGTGGCCTGAAGTGCTTGTGCTGCAGAAAGACTCCTGCCTTGTGTTACATGAGCAGCTTAAGCAAAGCTACTGGACTTAATCCCGAAAGGATGGTGTGGGGAGGAGAAACCTGGGCTGGAATCGATCTTTTAGGGCCCGAGAGGTGATTGTCCTCCTGTACTCGGCACTGGTGAGGCCTCACCTTGAGTACTGTGTCCAGTTTTGGGCCCCCTACCATAAAAAAGACATTGAGGTGCTGGAGCGGGTCCAGAGAAGGGCGACAAAGATGGTGAGGGGTCTGGAGCACAAGTCTTGTGAGGAGAGGCTGAGGGAGCTGGGGGGGTTCAGCCTGGAGAAGAGGAGGCTGAGGGGAGACCTTATTGCTCTCTACAACTCCCTGAAAGGAGGGTGTAGAGAGGTGGGGGTCGGGCTCTTCTCTCAAGTCACAGGCGACAGGACAAGAGGAAATGGCCTCAAGTTATGCCAGGGGAGGTTCAGGCTGGATATAAGGAAAATTTTTTTCACTGAAAGGGTTCTCAGCCATTGGAATGGGCTGCCCAGGGAGGTGGTGGAGGCCCCATCCCTGGAGGTGTTCAAAAGACGGGTTGATGTAGTGCTGGGAGGTATGGTTTAGTGATGATGCTCCTTGTTTGTTGTGTGGGTGTCTATTTTTGTCAGTTAGGTTGATGGTTGGACAAGATGATCTTTAAGGTCCCTTCCAACCTAGAAGATTCTGTGATTCTGTGATTCTCCTGTGCCAGGGAATCCCAGCAAGGGAAGGTCTGCAGACCAAGATCTTTGGAGAACCGTTGAGACTCACCTGCAAGTCCCCACAGGTTTTGGCAGCACCACTCCCGCAGTGTAAACAGCCTGGAAGATCCCCTCCAGATGAACCCGCCGCGTGATCTCCCGGATCAGAACCGGAGCCACCCGTTTCGATCGCAACTTTTTGTGGACGCACAGGAAGTTTATCTCTACCATCTTCTTCTCTCTTGGGAAAGAAACAACACAAAACATGAGACCCGACTGTCCTGACCTGGGAGGATCCGTCCAATGCCCTGAGCAATTTACCTCCAGCCCCTTCAACAGAAAGAGGAGTCAAATCCTCCAGGAAGGCCAAGGGGCAAGGGCTGGGTTTGGAGAACTGTCTTTAAGGTGTTACCCAAGGTTTTCCCAGTGAAAACAGTCTCCATCCAGCTCTGGAGGATTTCTGTAAGACAGAGCTCTAGGCTGACCTAACTTTTTGAGGAAAACAGCTTTATAGCTGCTGACTACAAGATGTCCTCGGACAGAACTTCACTGCCCACCTTAGATACCCCCCACCCTCTCCTCCAAGCAGCAAAGCATCTCCAGGGCATGACTCTGGCTCAGTGGGTCAGGGAGGATGAGGACAACACAGCCAGACCTCCTGAGGGCTCCCAGGAAGCCCCAAATGCCACCGAGGGGCAGGGTGAGGGAAGCAGCCGAGCAGCACTCACGTGTCGTAGATGTGGATAGTGGCTGGAATCGCGCTGATAAATCCAACCAGCTTCTTGCTGGAGACCACCCTGACTCCACAGTGCCACTGGGGCAACCAGCCCGGAGGACGCAGCGCCCTGCAGATGAGACACACTTCAGAAGTCACGTCCCATCAAAAGTCCTCCTGTGTACCTGCTCCTGCCTCCCCATGCTGCCCCGAGACACCCCATGTCCTGCTCCAGCTGCCCTGGGTTTGCAGGCAGGGGGGTGGGAGGGTGACAGTGATGTGACAAGCCAGGAACACCAGGATCCAGGGCAATTCCTGCACTCGATGGGCATGGCAAATTCTCGCTAGTGACACAGGAGGGAAGTCACGTTCCTCGATCCCTGAACGCCCCGAGGAACCAGCAGCTCTGCTGCAACAGGTCTCCAAGTGTTATTGCTGGCAACGGCGCTTGGCAGCCACCGTCATCCTACAGCTCCGGGGCACTGGGAAGCTCCTCAGCTACTGGGATTTTTACAAACACTCAGGGGATCAAACCAAAGAGGAAAATAATCCAGTTTTAGGCTCCCGTATCTCAAAGAAGGCAGAGGCAGGCAGGGCTGGGCGAGAGACCCCTCTCGCAGGGTACCTGGGAGGTGGCACACGTACGGTGACAGATGGGGAAGGGAGATTGCAGCGAGGGGACACGCAGAGGCAGCCACGGTGCCACTCACCACAGCAGGAACTCGGGGGAGTAATCGAAGCGGAACATGTTGTCGTCGTCCTCCACGTAGTTCTCATTCAGAAGCGTGTACAGCTCCTTCAGCTGCAGCAGGAGAGACCACGTGTCCCATCAGAGGTCCCCCCGTGTACCTGCTCCTGCCTCCCCATGCTGCCCCGAGACACCCCATGTCCTGCTCCAGCTGCCCTGGGTTTGCAGGCAGGGGGGTGGGAGGGTGACAGTGATGTGACAAGCCAGGACCACCAGGATCCAGGGCAATTCCTGCACTCGATGGGCATGGCAAATTCTCGCTAGTGACACAGGAGGGAAGTCACGTTCCTCGATCCCTGAACGCCCCGAGGAACCAGCAGCTCTGCTGCAACAGGTCTCCAAGTGTTATCGCTGGCAACGGCGCTTGGCAGCCACCGTCATCCTACAGCTCCGGGGCACTGGGAAGCTCCTCAGCTACTGGGATTTTTACAAACACTCAGGGGATCAAACCAAAGAGGAAAATAATCCAGTTTTAGGCTCCCGTATCTCAAAGAAGGCAGAGGCAGGCAGGGCTGGGCGAGAGACCCCTCTTGCAGGGTACCTGGGAGGTGGCACACGTACGGTGACAGATGGGGAAGGGAGATTGCAGCGAGGGGACACGCAGAGGCAGCCACGGTGCCACTCACCACAGCAGGAACTCGGGGGAGTAATCGAAGCGGAACATGTTGTCGTCGTCCTCCACGTAGTTCTCATTCAGAAGCGTGTACAGCTCCTTCAGCTGCAGCAGGAGAGACCACGCAGGTCAAGAGAGTCATTCAGCCGTCACACGCCCCAGCTGCCCTCAGACTGGACCCTGACCGTTTTTTTTTGTGTGACCACAAGAATGGAAGCCACGTGCAGCCATGTTGCAGGTCAAGAGAGTCATTCAGCCATCACACACCCCAGCTGCCCTCAGACTGGACCTTGACCATCTTTTTTGTGTGGCCACAAGAATGGAAGCCACGTGCAGCCATGTCCCCGCTGCTGGCACGTCCCCCTGAACTTGAACTGGTGCCACTACAGAGCAGGGTAAGCAGCAGGACACACAGAGACGAGTCCTGCTGCCCTCAGGTCATCTCCCAGGGAGGTGGGTAACTGTCTGGAGGGTCTCCCTAAGGGCCAACTCCTGGGTACAGGCCTCCTTAGGCTTAAAGAGCATGTGGAGAAGACCCTGTTCATGCTCATGAAGAACCCAGGCCAACATGGGATGGATGAGAGAGAACTAACTGCACGATGGGGGAAGTGGGACCCATCTAACTCCAAGGAGATGGTGCGACCACTGAGCTGGAGAGTCGCTTGGTGTGGCAAGAGACACAACACCCTCCCAACACACGTGTGCTGAGCTGCCCGTACTCACCACGCCTCTGTCCCCAAGGTCCAGGGCATCCCAGGTGAAGCCCTGAGGCAAAGTGTATGGCTCCTGACGGATATTGTCTTTGTCTGGCTCAACGGGCCCATGGGTGTTGACCACTTCTCCTGTAAGAGAGAGCGGGGACCCATGAAGGTACTCTCTGCTGTTGAGGCAATGTCTCCACGCCACCTCAATCTGGT